GAAATGCATCAACAGTTGATTTCCATGTGTAAGGCCCAGACTCCCTTTTCTGTAGTTGCGCAAATAGCAAGAAAACGACGTCGACATGGCTCATTATGTGCATATGTAGATAGTATGTCAAGTACTACGGATCGCGCACACGCATACGGATGCGTATACGCCTACGCCTAGCGCCTAGCGGACAAAAGGAGTCTGAGCGTAATTCTGTTTGTAGTAGACCTATACTATGCTGTTTGTGGGGAAAACTCTACATAAAACGCCGGGTTAGATCGTATTCTTCAGTCAAATACATTGAATTGCAGCTTTGGATTTTTCGTTTTGTGTTTATTCTTTGGGTGACTCCAATTGCCTTGCAAGATTTGATTGATTTGAAGAGATGATAAATGCATCCATTTTCCATTGTTATAAATGTAGGTCGGTGGGACTGATATGAAATGTGTCCATTTGTTCGGATGGAAAATTGAACCGAGACGTCTTATGCTACAGGCTGTGTACGTCTAAGATTTCTTTTGACTGATGGAAATTGAAAAAGTGCAGGCTAACCTGAACCGACAAATCGATGCCTTGTGCACTACAGGCTGTTAACGCTGAAGATCCCTCGACAACTGGAAGGGAGCGGGGAATCTCTGCCACTTCCTCTCTAATACGACCTTCGGGAGCCGCCGTGGCTCAGTGAGTTAGACGCTTGCTCGCCAACCTGAAGGTCTAGGGTTCAATCCCGGCATAGGTCGGGAAAATACCTTTGTATTTTTCAACCCGGTTTCCCCCCGTCAGTGATGCAGGTAAGAGGGGCTGACATGGAAAAAGCGTCTAGTCGTTCGGATGGGACAATAAACCGAGGCCCCGTGTGCTACAGGCTGTGCACGTTAAAAATCCATCGACAGTTGGAAATCGAAAAAGAGCAGGCTAATGCCGCTTGTCCTGGCAAAATTTCCCTCATCGCACCCTGAATGGCGTTGCCCGTCTTCATTAGCCCACATTGTTAAACTATGTATATATATGTATATAATTTATTATATTAATATAAAGCTGTCATAGGCATCATAGATATAAGATTTATAAAATTTATAAAACACAAAATTATCATCACTGACAACATCAACACAACAACTATAGATAGATAGATAGATAGATAGATAGATAGATAGATAGATAGATAGATAGATAGATAGAAATAACAATTAATAGATATACAAAAAGATATAGTGTATACATAAACAAGTTTGAAAAAAGCAACATCATAACAAAATAATGCATTAACAAATACACACCATATGTGGTGACAAGTTTAAGAAACAAAAATATATATAAATTTATGCAACAGCACGAGGGACTATATCAAACACCATAATATCAAAATATACGCTGAATTTATAAAAGGTTCGCGGGAGTTCACAATGACATTGCGACAGACCAAATCTGCTCTGCCATCTGTCAGCAAAATTGCCGCCAGAAAAAGAAAAGAAAAATAATTATCTGAGATACTCTGAATTACCTCAGCTATCCTTAACATAACAACCGCAAAAACAACATCAGCAACTGCAATTTATAAACAAAATCGAAATGTAAATTATTATAACACTAGAGAAATAATCATCATAATCATAATCAAAATGTATATTATCAACATTTCATAATCATAGATTAGGTGTTTGATCTACGGAAATCTTGAATTAATATGAAATTAACAGCACAAAAATATATTAAAATCAGTTGAAAATTTAAAATATTACAAGAAAAAAAAAGTATTACGAATAACAAAGGAGAAAAAAAAAGCTATTAGTATCAAATGAATTTTTTCTTTTTTATACATTATCACAATCCCATAAAGAGAATGAAGAGCACTGACAGTGGTGATGATGATGATGATGATGATTGATGATAATGTCGGTGCCTGCACCCAAATCGAATAAATAAAACGTGATGATGATGATGATATTGTCAATGTTTTTTTCCATAGATGACGTAATATATTTTACTTGACGTCAGGAATGTGACGTCAGTAATGGTTT